ATAAGTTTTGGACAGATTTATTATATGTGTACTGACACTGGCTATTCAACACGGACATTGCAATTAGAGTATCCTCGACAAGACTTGACTGAATTTGGTATTTGACTAATGGACTGTTTATAATGACTATGCTATAATTCTTAAATGGAATAAATTATAATTTTTGATAGCACAAGCGTATCTGTATTTTTACTGCGTGTTAACTAGAAAACTTATCTCACACATTACCTGTCTTCCTATCTGACTTCGCTGTACATTCTGTTTAGTTTTTTTTCCTTAACACCTGTTGGGGAATCCAGGCTTAACAGCATGAATGTAATGTCTTTCAATCATTTTCTTCCTGCTTTTAAGCTAAGGGACAGGCCTTTTGTTACAAAGCCTGTAATATCTACTATTGAGTTTTGCCATTTGGGAGAACTTGCCTCAAGGCCATTTGTAAAGCATATGCACTGAAACCAACAATTGCCAATTATGTGAACAGCAACCTTTAACTCTCAATTAAACACCTTGTAGTCCAAATCTATATAAGCATTTAATGGAGCAAACAACCTTCCTCCACCTATAAATATTTGCATTTTCTTACAAGTTTCTCTGGACTAATATTTCTGGGGAAGGAAGGATATTTATGAGATTACCCAGTAGAATATATTTGGTACTGTGTAAAATCTGAAAAGCATTAAACATTTTAAATATATCTAATCTCATTATTTTATTTTGTTTGCAAAATTGTTTGATACGGTGTATACATATGACTCTCTTTTAGATTTGATGTCCTTATAAAAATAAAATCTAAATAAAAGTCTGTAAGAGATCCTAAATTATTATAGTCAGTTCTGTTACATTCACTGTAATTTTCTAGAAATTAAACAGGAATCCAATAGAATTTATAATTATTATAGCCATCACACTCTCACTTAGGCAATAACGTTTAGTTGTATTTAAAACTGTGAAAAAGAAAACAAAAAACACTTCCAATATATAAATTCTAATATAATTATTAAAGAACCATTTGATTATGTAACTGAAGGCAACTGCACACAAAACATAATGCAACATGAATCCAAAGATTTTTAATGCCTAAAGAATATAATTACTGAAGGATTCCTCAGGCTCTTCAGGAGTAGGAAAAGAACAAGGCTATCCTGAAACAATTTCTAATTTCTGTATCCCGTTCTTGATCTAACCTACTGAAATGGCCATGCTTATTCATAGCTTATACTACGGCTTGAATAAGTTGAATCAAAGTACAGTACTGGTCACAACCATAATTTGTTCCATAACTTTGGCGATTTCTTCATCTTCTAATGTTTTGTCTTCAGGAATTTCTGGGTCAGGGGTCATGTTTGATCACCACCCAAGTATGTGTTCATGACCAGATTCAAAAACTTTGTGAATTTTTTTGTTGGAACCCGATTTGGTCATGGTCAGAAGTGTTCGTGATCAGAGATTCTACTTATTGGCTTTGATACATGTGGAAGAATGACACTATTAAATATGACCCAAATTTTATTCTATGTTCCTCAAAAAATATTAGGCTAAAAATGAAGAACTTACACTTTTCCAAAATTTTGCCACTGTTCTTCTATAAGAAATAAAATATAGTAACATAGCATTTACATTGATGTAGTTTTCCATAGAGCTTTACGGCATTCTGTGGGCAGTTTACAACATCAGTAAATTGCCCCCAACAATCTGGCTCTTTATTTTACCAACCTCAGAAGAATAAAAGGCTGAATCAACTTTGAGTCGTCAAGACTCCGGACTATTGGGAAGAGTTAGCCTGCAATACTCCATTCTAACCACTATACTAATAGAGCTCCATACACTTTGTTGAATCTGAGCAGCTGACTTTGGTTACATGTGCAGCTTTTAATTTGATTTCAGATTTTATCATCTTGAACCAAGTTGCCAAAGTTGTTTTGTGACTGGAAAGCTAGAGCAACCACAGATTTACAATATCTCATTTGTACTACACTATACATAGAAAAAAATATCCAAAGTCCCCTCACAGCCTATGGTTTGCTACTATATCTACATAGCTAACATAGGTAATGTGGATTTACAAGAGCACTATTAAGGGAAATTGGGTGAGCAAATATTGCAAACCTTAAAAATAGGCTGCTTTCATATTTGCTTCTCTTTTGTGTCTGGATTTGGTTGGGCTGGGAGAGATGCATCAAACTTTCATATCTTAAAAAAGGGTGATCCCCCCCCTTATCTTAATAGCAGAAGATTCAAAGATTTATTTCAATAAATAAGAATAGTTAGAAAAAACAGACATTACTTTTTCTCTATGTTATTTACTGGAGATATGTGTATTGAATTATAACTTACGATTGTTACAAGCATCTGACTGATTTGTGTTGGAAGAAGGATGATGGCAAGGTCCTGTTGATTTTGTGAGATCAGCGGTGAATGTTTGCATATCCATGTTGAAGTTGGCCTGATTATTCCCACAGTCTTGGTAAGCTAGAGAATTGGATCTGTTGAGGTGGTTTAATGACATCTGTACTAGAGTTTCTTTTATGATGGCTGAATTCTCACCACAAAAACTGTCCAAATGAACAGGTCCCATTATCTGTATATAAGAATACAAAAGGAAGTCTAAGCAGGCCAAATTTTTATCATTTCCTGCCACCATAAATCTCCGTCTTATATCTTGAAGTAATTAACCAGCTTTGAACAAAAAAGAAGAAAAACCCTTCATTTTATTCATCTGTTGCCAAGATGAGACTCAAGAGCAGGTAGCAAGTTCAAGCAATGAACAATTTGTGGAAAAAATAATAATTTAACACTTAAACAACTTCACCTGACGAAGGATGGGAGAGAGGGAGGGAAGAAGGGAGGGGAGGGGGCATGTTTTGGAATAGTTCTTATTTTTTTCTCCTCTTAAAACAAGTATGTGCTATAATTTTCTCCAAGTAAGCACTAGATTAGACTGTTGCTATTTTTCTATGTTTTGTCTGCTGTTTAAAAAGAAGCTAATTTTGAGATTATCCTGCTTCTCACATTATGTAAGTAGAATTATCACCTGTAAATGAAAAAGCATGATACCTAAATTATAGTCCATAAACTACAAAAACTCTTAAACAACAAATTTTGCTATCTTCATTCCACTGGCTGGCACTTCCTGTGGATAGAGAAATCCTAACAATCGTAACTGGTACTCCTCATTTCCCACATATTATAGAGAAGACCTCAAAGGCACATTTAGGTTGAAGACTTCAGGCATTTCTCTATTGTATGTATACTGTACTCTAACTACTGTGTATCCCTGAAAATAGGACCTATTAAGTCCTAGCTTGATTTTTATACATGTGCCCAATATAAACACAACCCCCAAAATAACCCCAAGTTAAGAGCCCATCCATTCCAGGGTTTATGGGGTGGGGTGAGGCACATGGGTAAAAATTAAGCTTGGAGATGCCCTACTTACCAGGCCTCGTACACCCTGATACCTGCCTTGCTTTGCAGGCCCACTTCTTCTATGGCCACTTGCCACTACTCGTGCACGTTGCTCCGGCCTCTGTTTCACCATCTGAGGCCTTCAGATCAATCAGTAATGAGTCAGTAATTAGATATCCCCCCAAAATAAGACCTGGTACCTTTTTTGGTGGCAAAAAAATAAATAAAACCAGGTCTTATTTTCGGGGAAACATGGTATAATACAGTGGTGGGATTCAATTTTTTTTACTATCAGTTATGTGGGCGTGGCTTGGTGGGCGTGGCAGCGGAAGAATACTGTAAAATCTCCAGTCAGAGGTTGTATTTGCCAGTTCTCCAAACTACTCAAAATTTCCGCTACTGGTTCTCCAGAACTGGTTACAACCTGCTGAATACCACTTCTAGAATAATACCCTTGTTTTTCCTCTGTGGTGTTGCACTGCCAATGGCTTCCTTCCCACCTTTTCAATTCCTGGATCATCCTGGTCACCCTGACTTGTCCATCAGAATGATACAATGGCTTTTCAGTGACAATGCCTGGAGTTTGGTATTTCTAGTAAAATAGTAGTATGAATGCTGGAAACTTAAAGCAATCATCATAAATAATTAAGCTCATCACAACTTATTAATCTCCCATCAACCTTTATCTCTTCTTTTTCTGAGTTACATAAATAAGGTAGTGATTCAGATATTATCTCAGCCATAAACTCAATGGGTTCTTTACTAATTTTCAGTCTCATGCATTAGCTCATCAAACTGGACTACCTCAGCTGGGGCTTGAGGGAGATGCATCACCAAGTTTAATAATGTTTGTAAACGCTGCATACCTCGTTGTTTCCCGATGAGATGACTGCTGGCAGATTGCTTTGATGGTTGTGTTTCCAGTGGTGCAAAATGTTTTGCTGCAACCTGACAGTTTCCCGTTCCTTCTCCACCATCCTTTGACTCTCTTGGAGTCTCTGTAGGTTCTGTTGGTAATCTTGGAACTGGCTATCCAGCTCTTCACGGTTTTTGCAAAGCAACTCTTCTTGGTTACAGCATTCTTTCTCCTTCTCCAGCAACCTGCTCTCTCTTGTCTCATGCGCCTGTTGCTGCTGCTCGCACTCACGGTGCCATCGTTGCTGCTCTTGCTGAAATTGCTGCTGGAGTTTATGAATATTTGCAAATTCTTCTTTTAAGTTTCTGTGTTTTTCTTGTTCGAGAAAGAAAGTGCTCCGTGGACTGTGGCTCAAGCCGGACCTTTCATGTTCCTGCAGAAGCAGCTTATTGATCTCAATGTGAGTGTCCTGGATAGTCAAGGCTGCCTTTTCATCAAAACAAAATGCAGTAATAATTTCTATCAGTTGTTCTATTCCTTTTTATAAAATATCAACATTTAATGCATAATAGCTTTTAAAAGAAAATTCCACATTCAAGTCTAAGACAATGTTTGTTGTTTTATTCCTTTAACATACGGTTTCCATTTTCAGATAATAACATGTATTCATTTTCTGCACTAATCCTATGATTAACGTTATGGTTTTTGGATCACTATACCATACAATTTTACAAATTCTGGCTTATCTGGAAATAAAGATATTCTTAAGTGAGATAGGAAGTGCTTTCAACAGAGGTCATATATATCCCAGCCATAATCTCAGAATCTCCTCCACCTTTTACAATAAATATTTAAGTTTGGGGTCACATTATCTGAAGGACGCTTGCACTTGCCTAAGCTCTAAGATCAGAACATTAACACTTGGACAAAACTATGAGAATTGTCAATTCTAGACATACGGACTTTTCTAAACAACACATAGAGCAACACATAGAGAATGACTATTATCATTCAGATGAACTTTGGACATGTTTTATGCTCCAAACCTCAATAATATCTTTATTAGAACTGGTCCAAATTTCCAATCAATCAAATATCTATATCAGTGGTGTCTAACCTTTTCAACACTGCTGAAATGGGAGTGCGCGCACACTGGAAACCGGAAGAGCAGCTTCCTGATGTGTCCACGGGAGCGCCAGAAACCAGAAGCTTAGCCTCCCGACACGCATATGGTCTTCTGGTTTCTAATATGCATGTGCACGTGAAAACCAGCTGGCCTGCGCATGCATGGACTCCGGGGAGCTGCTCTTCCGGTTTCCAGCGCTCCCGCAGACATGAAGACTAGCTGGCCAGTGCACATGCATGCGTCAGAATCCGGAAGAGCAATGGGCGATGGCTGGTATGTCCAGAGAAATGGCTCTGCGTGCCACTTCTGGCACACATGGCATAGGTTCGCCATCACGGATCTATATGATTGCCAGGAATAGAAAATGACTTGATGCCTCAGAATCAAACTTCCAACAGTGAGCTTTGAAAAATCCTGAAGTTTGCTCATTATCCTATCATTTCAGCCAGCTTTAACTAAGATGTCCTATACTTTGATTTTCCAGGTCTTGGGGATTCACAGTTATCTTTGATCATTCTTTCTGTCCACATGGGATGAATTTTCTTGGATAGAATTTACATATGCTTAATTTTATAACCCTGAAGTACATTTTATAGAATGGTTGGACAGCAAACTCCTTAGCACTCCTTAGTAGCACTGATGATGTTACCTACTTAGGGTAATGAAACTTCTGCAAGAAAACAAGCAGAGAGCACCAAGGACCAGTCATTTCAACTCTGAGCTACAAATATTCTCCTTTATTGGTTTTCTCTCTAATTTCATATTTTTATTTTCATACCAACAATAAATACATGCATGATGTTGAATATCTATTCAGAATTTTCTCTGACTATTCTTCAAGGAAAAACTAACTTCAGACTTTAAAGTTGTAATAGAGACAATTCAGGGGCCTATCACCTTAGTCAGGCTCAATCAATCATGTACTTTAGGAGAAAATAAATGCTACACTGATGTTTAAATTAAATTGATTGTTCTCCTCAAATTGATATGCAAGAACAAAGACAACACAAAAAGACAAACTCCTAACTAATCCACTGTATAGTAGTTTCCAGCTCTTTATAGTTAATGAACAATTTTTTTCAAAGATTAGGATAATGTTCAGAGAAGATTTTTGTAAATCTTCTGCTAAACTGTTAACAGTTCTTTGAAAATCAGAAAAGCTGTGAGCTGTTTAATGTACAATTTTTAAAAACCCAATAAATTCGCTAAGCAATAATCACCTGAATGCTGTATAAGAGCCGTGTTAAATTCTGGATAGTCTGCACAACCTAAGGAAAGAAGGAAACATTGAGGATGAGATAGGAATTACAAAGCATAATAAACTTAGAGTAGGAAATATTAATAGATTGCTATAAGAGAACCATCTTACCTCGGTTTGTGCAGAAGCAGAAAAGCAGGCATTTTCTTCCTACAAACATAGAATTACGATTAGACTATTTGTGGAACTGTACTGCCATCTTCTGGTCTGCCTAGGAAATTATCTAAAACTTTTGCTATTTACAAATATGTTGTAGTTCACGCACAAATATATTAAGCAGCTATTTAATGGCAGATTTGAAGAAAAGAAGGCATAAAGACTAGATAAAGTGAAAGTACAAACAAAAAAGAGAATAGGAAAAGGACTAAATTCAATGCCTAGATAATGCCATTCAAGGAGCATATGAAAGTACAGTACCTGATCTAGTATATCCATTTCTGCTACATTGTTTTCATAGTGCATGTCAGAATTACAAATTTCTTTCTCTACCTTCTGTAGTTCTGTACCTAGAGATTAATGTCAAGAGGAAAAAAATGACTTAGAATTTAAAAATTAAATGCCTGTCTCTCTTTAATTATTTTGGATTCAATATATTATTTCTAGCATTCCACTCTTTGCTTTCTTTTCTTGTTCTTTTTTCTTGTTCTTTTTCTACCCTTTCTTTCCTGAGATTTTCCCCATGTCCAAGTAGGGATACTGCTATTCAGTTTTTCATCAATTTTTTTTGTACCATTAAGAATGTTTAAATAAAATGTCGAGTTCAATCACCAAGAATAAGCATATATGTGCAATTGGTATTGGTGGAACTCCTTTCTAACAGAACTTTTATTTTAACTGGTACTTGAGAACCATCAATTATCACTGTAGTTAGGTGGAAGGTCTAAGTTTTGAAGACCTACTTTACTTGCTTTCAAAAAATTTAAAGTTAATGTTTGCATTCTCATCTTAAAAATCAAAGAAATTATATCTTTGTTTTACTTTTCTTCCAATGGGGTGTTACTATAATACAGAAATGCAAGTTCCCTTTTTGTGATAGAAAAATAAATGCAATATCACACTATCAATACAGCAAATATCTTTAAGACTTCAAGGCCAGGTTATTTTTTTTTTCAAGTAATCCCCAAGCATACGAATAAACATGGCATACAAGCCGTTCAATCATTGTCTCAGATTAAGAATTTCTCAATTTTTGCAATAATAAGGATTGAGTTGACTAAATCCATTCACAGTTTATAGGGATTCACATTAGCACATGCCTGATTGAAACATTTATATCAGGAATGCAAGTATCAGTGACATACCTAATTCTTCTAGTAAGTATCTTTGTATATTGTATTAGATTTTTCATATTTTCGTATTTTGAAACAATCATGGTAAATATATCTAAGCCGTGGATGATTAAAAATATTAGCTCTTACTAACAATCAGTGAAAGGTTCACATTCTTCAGTTTCACTAAGACTTGTCAAACATGAATCACCAACACTCTCTTCCTTTGAGTGGTTTGTGTCTTTCGTTTGCAATAATGCTACTGTTGTATGAAGGTTTTCCGCTGCAACAAAAGCAAACATTTAGGTGTTTATTGTGTCTATGAAGTAAACAGTAATTCTTATATCACTTATAAGAAAGAAAGAGAAGGAGATGTTTATTGTGGTCAATGATTAGCCTATAAATATCAGTCATATGTATTCATTCATATACATATGACTGATAATGTTTAATCAATTAGATACAATAGTTTATATATAACATGTCAAACTTTAGCTACACTTAATATTAGTCTTTCAAGCATTCAGACTCGTGTTGGAGTCCATCCTAAGGGAGCTCCTCTCTCTAGAACACTCAACATATATATTTATGTGGTTCCTGGTTGTGTGTGACTTTGATGGGTAGCCACTAAGTCACTGATTGGTTGTTTCCTTGTGCTGCCATGCCCTTGACTTTTAAGTATTTAGTAAGCTGGTGGTAAATCAGCATGCCTGTTGACTGACAAGGGGCCCATTTCCCAGGCTTCAATCATTTCCCTAGCCATTTTTGTCCCTGCTTGGCCAACAATCTTAGTAGCTGCAAAACTGAATATATGTCTTTGTTCATTGCAATATGAGGCTATCAATGAGTTTGAATCTCCACGTTTAACCGCTCACTTGTGTTCTTATAATCTGATGCTTAGCTTTCTCCCCGTCTGTCCTACATAGTCACAGGGGCAATCCATGCAGGGAATCCGGTAAATTGCATCAGAAGTTTCTCGCACCTCCAAGTCATCCTTGTAATGCATGATTTATAAGGGACAAAAAAAATCTATTAAAAACTACTTCTGGGGAAGGATATCAGGTCTAATGGTAATGTACAATCTTCATCACAGCAAATAAAATTCAACTGACTCAGTTCAGTGTGTGTGTGTGTGTGTGTGTGTGTGTGTGTGTGTGTGTGTGTAGGTCTAGTGTGTTTGGGTCTTTTCCCGTGTAAGATTAAGAGTATCTTGGCGACGTTTCGGCAAGGTCCCACTCGCCATCCTCAAGCTGGTGCTTTCGGCTTCGTTCCAGTACAAGCAGTGTGGTGGGGGCTGGTGTGCTGGGCTGGTTGGCTACGCTGCTGCCTCTTGATTGGTTGATGGAGTTGATGTTGGTATAATGGGCTGTGTGATGGCCTTGTGAGTTTTGTTGTGGAGATATCCTGGATCTTGTGCTGTAATCTCCTGGGTCATTTGTTTTGTAGTGATCTTTTTTCCATTAGCCTCTCGTGTTTTAACGGCTTGGGTAATGGGTTGTGTGATGGGCTTGCGAGTTCTTTTGTTGTGGTATCCTGGGTCCTGCACTGTAATCTCCTGGGTCATTTGTGTTTTGATCTCTTTTCCATTAGCCTCCTGTGTAGTAATAGCTTGGGTAATGGGTTGTGTGATGACCTTGTGAGACTTATTGCTGTGGTATCCTTGGTCTTGTGCTGTGATATCCTGGATCATTTGCTGTGTTGCAACTTCTTGAGTTCTTGTGGTGTAATTTCCTGAGTTTTCTGATGTGATATCCTGAGCTGTGATGTAGCATTCTGGCTTTTAGTCTGGCTTCGAGTTTGGGGTCTGGGTCTGGATCTGTGTTCTTGGCGTGTGTCAGCTTATTTGGTTTTGGGGTCAGGGGAAAGACCCGAACACACCTAGACCTACATACCTGCACCCGTGAAAATCTACGAATATATATATATATATAAATTTAACCATGTAATATTAACATGTCAACCATTAAACACCTAGAAATGATTAAACATTCAAAGTTCCTAAAATATAAATAACACATTCAAAAAGGGGAGTAATAAGACAAATCTTTACTTGCAGACTAAACCAAGCCCCCTTGCCTTCAGGAGGGAAAGGCCCATAGGAAGGCCTCCTGTGCAATGACTGGAAGGCAAGGTGTAGGTTCCATTAGGAACAGTAAGATACCTTCTGATGAACTCTGAGCTCACCCAATTCCATCTCAAAGTAGGAAATTTGAACATGCACTGTTAGGATTTGAGATCCTGAATTTGGCAGGTGGAAATATCAAAGAGAGTCCTGTAACTTATTCAAAGCAAGTGCTTTCTGGTCACCTCCTATTAATAAGACAACGTTACAAAGCCAGGAAAGAATATCATGCCTATTTTTTGAAGTAAATGTAATAATTAAAGTGGCTTGGAAATATTATTTTCTGTCATCTATAATTAAACAAGACTTTCAAGAAGCCTAATAATTTTCAGGTAATCAAAAGATAAATGTACACTAGAACACCCAGCTGGACTTGTAGCTGGTATATGAAGTATGAAGGGTAGACTATTTCTAGAGGCAAATAGAATGAAAGGCCACAATGTACAAGTATTTTTCAAAGCAAAAAAAGAGAATGAACCACCAGTTTTCCAATATGAGTAAATGTGCCATCAGCTAAAATATTTAGAGGTCCTTATGAAAATTATCCTAATTTATAATTTCAATATAAATGCAATCCAAAGGAAGAGAGGTGCATTTTTATTGGTTATGATATGTCCTTGTCTAGGGGATACACCACCAAAGATATAAATTTGATTAAAGAAGGTTTAAATTCTTAGTTAGTTTGAGTAAATCAGGTATCTCAAGGTTCATCTTGGTTTTTGTTTGAGTATTATTTTCAGTATCCAAGGGCATAATGGTAAAATAATATTTTACTATCATAATAATATTATATTTTACTATCATAATAATATTTACTATCATAAATAAACGTTTTGAGGATGTAGGTCTTAATTTGGAATAATTTCTTTCTGATCTTTCTTTTAGGTGAGCAAATTAAAAGGTTTAATAAGTCTTTCTAATTTTGTTCCCTTTTTTAAGGGGGCTCAAAAAATGGTCAGAGGCACCTGGAGCCTATAAGTTCTGAATTTCAGACAGAAAGCAATGGAGAGTAAAGCAGCAGTCAAAACCCAAACTGGTTTCCCCAACACAGGCCTACAGTCACTTACAGGGTTTCCTAGTTAGTTAATTAAAAAAAAAATCCTTTTAAGAGTTCCATACAGTAGAGTTTAAAGAAAACCATATGATTTTCCATAGAACGAGACAGTCTGTCTTTACAGATTTCTCAGTGACTTTGGAAATCCCCACTCAAAAAATTAGTGAAGTTAGAAAGTTAGAAGTACCTTGGAGCTACAATGAACCCTTTTGGGGAGAATTCTGAATGCTTGCTTTCAAACTTTTTAAACCTGAAATTAATTAAAATACTAAGAAGTGTGACAAGGGGGAGAGGGGGAGAAGAAGAAAAATACTTTATATGTAGACACAGACTTACCTTCTTTCAGAGCTGCTGCCAGAAGTGAAGCCACTTGAGGAGTTTCTCCAGAGTCGGGCTTAATAAGTAGATGTGGTTCCGCCTGAACTTCTTCAAAACCACTCATATTCCCAAGCTTTGCATAGATATTAAGTTTCTCTTCTAAATAGTTACAGATCTGCTGGTCTTGATTATTCAAGAGTACTATACAAAAAAAAAAACATGCACTATTAAGATTAAAAAATATGGCGATAGTAATTATTACTTATTTATGCTGGAACCATAATTACCCACATTATTATTTTCGTTTTAAAATTTGGTATTTCTATTATGAATTGCATGCAATCCCATCCCTAGTGAAGCAACCACATACACATTATAGTTAGTTCACAATGAGGAAGCAGCGCTGGGTAGGAAATCCTAATGCACAGGCATGCTTATAAAATGTCTAATGGAGGAAGGGACATTCTTTCTTAAGACTATGTCCACTCTAATGGATGAATGTATTAGTTTTAAAGTACCAGAAAACATTACACTATACCTTGACATTTTTGAATTTTGGCCGCTCTGGCTTCAGTTATTTTTCGGTCCTCATCAGAATCACCTATTTTGCCTTCTTCTTCCGGGCAACTTCAGGGATGCCATATAAGCAAAACAGATTAAAGTGATCTTATTTTTTTTTTCCATAAAACATTATATACAGGAATCCATTTGGAAAAGTCAGCTTCAGTCATACTAATTTAATAGGGTTAATTTAAAGGAATCACTGTAGAGATATTTATAATTTGATGAAGTTAGCAGATATATTTTTCCCTCATTTTGTCTTCTGGTTAAGAAATATTAAACAGAAATAAAGATTGCATTTAAGCAGTTGGCCACCATCTACTTTAAAAATCAGGCTGGATGTGACATCATAAATGACATGCTTACCAATGACACTAAACTGCCACAAAGATGGTGCCTTACTATTCCTCCCGTCCTCCCTAGTAGAAAAGTTTCTTTGCAAGTCAGACCCCAATTCATACTGCCATTTAAGTATCCCAAATAGCCTGATATGGAAAGGCATATGCTTCATTTTATAACTTTTGACAGCAAGAAGCAGTATGAGTCTATTAAATCAAATCTCAGAATCTTCAAATTGGTATATGTTTCCAAGATTTGTCACGTGTATTTTATTTTGGTAGGATGTAGTTAACAAACATTTCTAAGGAGAATTTTTTTACATTAAAATAAAGAAAGAGTGAGCAAGCGGTAACCAATGTTCCGGTATATACCTTTCCACTGCTTCTTGAATTTGCCTCATCCAGTGACTGCGTTCCTCTTTGGAACTAGTATGAATTTCATACATCTCAGGTCCTGTGGAGGATGCGCTGATCAAGAACATCCCTCTCTCTTCATTGGCTACCTCTCTGACAATAAGTTTCTGAAGAGCTATAACAGCAGGCTTCTGGTCCTATACAGATCACAGAAAAATGCAAATCACAGAATATTCTGAGTGATGTGATGGCCTAGAGTTAGAGCTCTCGCCTCACGATCAGGAGGCTATGAGTTCAACCTAGGTAGAGAACAGATATTTCTCTCTCTGGGCACAATGAAAATATATCTGCTGAACAAAGCTCTGCATTGGCAACAGGAAGGGCATCCGGCCAGTAAAACACTCAGCTCCATTCAGTTGGCCAGATTCCACCCCACAAGGGATTATGGGGTCATTAAAAGAAGATGAGGAGGATGATTACAGTATATTTTGAATAAAAGGATCTGAGTGACCATCTAAATTAAATCATTTCAATATAATACTATGTCAGCTATTTCTGGAACCGTTATTTTGTTGTATCTTTTTTTGTGAACAAAGGTAAATAATGTGAGCCGGAGCAAGCTTGTCCTTTCACTACAACATCATTCAAAATGTATTTACAAAGCATTATCCTTCATGTCAGGAAAAATCCGGTCTGATCAGGATGTATCAATTCAATTAGAAATTTATTACCGTATTTGCCGGCGTATAAGACGAC